ACTTGGTCCTGGAAGACTGAAGGAACTAGGCATTCCAAAGACCCAAACATGTCTTTCTCTAAGGAACAAGAAATACTAACATAATTCTGTTTTAATGATTTTCATTATTTTTATTAATTGTATAATTATTTTAATAAATTAGTGATTTAAGGTTTAAAAAGCATATGTATTTCCTAGTAATGTGTGTACCTTTTGATGTTTCTTAGCCACAAGGTGGCAGGAATTTCCATGTTATATTCTGTCTTAGAGATACAGCTTCATAGAGAAGTCATTATCCCCTTAGAAGTGGTGTTAACAGATTTTAGTTACAAAAAGAAGCAATCAGGCCTCCCTGGTGGCACAGTGGGTTGAGCGCAGCGCTGTGAAGCTGTCCGCAGCCTTTGCAGCATGGGTTCTATTCCCCGCCAGCCAGGGAGATACCCACATGGCACAGCAGACCTCTCCTGTCTCACCCACTGCTCCCCTCAGCAGTGTTTTCAGTCGTCTGCCTGTTCTGCTCCCCACTCTGTCTCTGGTGAATTCTCTCACCCTCCCATGCCTCTGGACTGTACCCCAGTTCTTATATAAATAAATCTCTCTAAAAAAAAAAAAAGAAGCAATCAAAAAAGCTTTAAACTAGATCCCTAACTCCTGAATATCAGTGGTCAGTCATCTGAACTGAAGCACATGCAAAATACAGTATTATCAATTAAAAAATGTTGGGAAAATGCTTAAGTGCTGCTAACTTTGGAGATCTTACTACCTTTTTTTTTTTCTTTTTTAAAGATTTATTTATTTATGCATTCAAGAACTGGGGTACAGGCCAGAGTTACAGGGGGTGAGAGAATTCACCAAAGACAGTTAGGAGCAGAACAGACGGATCTACTGAAATACACTGCTGAGGGGAGCAGCAGGCGAGACAGGAGAGGTCTGCTGTGCCATGTGGGTTGCTCCCTGGCTGGCCGGGGATCAAACTCATGCTGCAGAGGCTGTGGATTGCTTCATAGTGTGGTGCTTAACTCCTTGCGCTAGGGGAAGCCCCCTTACTACATTTTAGGTATTGAGAAGTATTTTGAAAACATTATCTTAGTTTCTCAACAGACTCATAAGCTAAGGGCTGTATTATTCCCCATTTTACAGATGGAAAAGTAGTTCCATCTGTAGACAGATTAACTTGACAAATGTCACATCTAGAAAAGTGTAATTAGACTCTAGAATGTATCCTCTTAGCCTTTATGTTTTATTCACACCTTCACAAGCACAACCCAGTTAACACAGACTCCTAAACAACTGATGCTGAAGAAAGAAATAAACTAAAGTATCATCCCTTATCAACTACTTCAAGATGTACAGTTTGGATGGCTTGCCAAGGAAAGGGTATGGAGAAATCAGGTTACTTTAGCAGCTGCCAGTCATGCTGGAGACCACAGAGCAGGCTTGCAGGACTCAGTGGAGCAAGTCCTGGAGAAGGCACCAGCCTTCCCCCAATTCAAGCTAGCCCAGAGCCAGTGGGTAGAATAACCAGTTTACTATCAACTGGGTGACTTTGTGCCAAATCATTTGATAAGACCATTTCCTAAATATGTGTATATATGCACAAATATATTTGTTTCTTGTCAATTCTCATTTTGTATTGGCAAAAATAAGCTCAGAGATATTAAGGTTACAGAGTGCTGCCTGATGGCAGGGTCCACACGTTTCCCACTACTTTCTAATGCCTCTCAGAGTTAATTGTTACAGAGTGAGATTGTACTCCATGTTAAAAAAAAAAAAAAAACCTTACTAGAAAACTTTAATTTTCCTAACATTACACCATGAAACTCATTTTGTACTCTAAGTTTATTAAATTTTCTTTGAATAATCTATCATTTCCTAATTTACTTTGCTCTCTAGTTCTTGGGTGGCGAGGGGAGAAACTTCAGTATTCCTTTAATTCAACTTGATTTGGGCATGAAATAAAATCAGGTGGTCACATCTCCAAAAGCTCTTTCATCATCAATGAAGGGAGAATGGGGACTTTATCTTTATTCATTGGATACTTTTGGTCAATAGTTGGGACTCAATAAATGTTAACTGACTCATTATAAGGGTCATGATGACTATTTTCCTAAATAATATGTCCTATTGATTTGTTTAGATTATCTAATTAGATAAATCACACCTTCCTAAAAGGCTTTTATTCCCTCCTGGGGATTAACAGGAGACTGCCAAGGTGTAACAATCACTAAAAAGTGCTTTTAGAAATAAAAATTCAGCTTGTGGGCCTCCCTGGTGGCGCAAGGGGTTAAGACACAAACTATGAAGCTGTCCGCTGCCACTGCAGCAGGAGTTCGATCACCAGCCAGGGAGATACCCACAGGGCACAGCAGACCTCTCCTGACTTACCTGCTGCTCCCCTCAGCAGTGTATTTCAGTCAGTCTGCCTGTTCTGTTCCCCACTCTGTCTCTGGTGAATCCTCTCACCACCCCCCCCCCACACACACCTGTAGCCTATACCCCAGTTCATGTATGCATAAATAAATAAATCTTTAAAATAAAAAAGTTCAGCTTGCTGTCATGTTAAAAGATACTTCCAGCAGTATTATGCCTTGAATAGGCCATCCACCCTTCTTGTGCTTGTACTCTTGGTGCGTTCTTTGGATTTTTTTTTTAAAAGATTTATTTATTTATGCACACAAGAGCTGAGATATAGGCCAAAGATGTGGGGGGTGAGATGATCCAATGGAGAGAGTGGGGAACAGAACAGGCAGACAGACTAAAACACACTGCTGAGGGGAGCAGCGGGCGAGACAGGAGAGGTCTGCTTCGCCATGTGGGTTTCTCTCTGGCCAGCCGGGGGATAGAACTCATGCTGCAGAGGCTGCAGATTGCTTTATAATGCGGTGCTTAACCCCTTGTGCCACCAAGGAGGCCCAACTTTGGAATTTTTTTTAAAGGGAAGGATGGATATGAAATGCCAATGTGTCCCTACAAAAGTTCACTGTATGTCTCTCCAAAGCTATGTAGATTCTATCTCCAACATACATTCTCCCATAAAATTATAACTATTAAATTAAGCATTTCCTTTATGTCACCTCACATTTTTTCAAAGAAGACTATTAAGACAGGCCTCATATAATTTCCAGTTATCATTAGGTTTAGCATATTAGCCCATATTTTCCCTATAACAAAGAGCTAACCCTATGAGATATTGATTATGTAAGACAAAGTCTTTGCTTTCTCACTGCCCTCACTTTTATACCCCAATCTACTGGGGGTTTAAAACATAAAATTTTTCTGTTCATCTTCTTTCATATGGTTGTAGAATGAAGTTAATAACAAGTCAGTTTGCTTTATAACTCATCACAATTTCTAATGTTCAAAAACCTCATTAAATTAAAATTTTAATGGTATATCCAAAGAAAAATAGAGTATTTTCAAACATAATTAAAATCCAATATTAAGACATTAAAAGTGAATCTCATGCCTCACATACGAGAAAGAATGAAATTAACATTGATTAGATACTATTTTCCACCTACTATATTAGCAAAATTGATAAAGCCCCATGTTAGGAAAATAGAGAGAAATGGAATCTCACAAAAAGCAGATGGGAATTTAAGCCAGTTGAAGTTCTACGAATCTAACAAAGTTAGATTCCACTATCTAACAAAATTGTAAAATGTACATAATCTTGACCCAGTAAGTCTACTTGAAATTTAACCTATAGCTATACCACACATGTGCAAAATAACATAAGCAAAAGCGATTTACCACAGCACTGCTCACAACTGCAGAAACTTAAACATCCTAAATATCCAACTTGGGACTAATAATAGTCATTCTATAAGCATACAACTAAATTCTATGCCACTACAAAAATTCATGTTTCTGTAAAAAACGAGGGGAAATACATGCATGTATCTGCCTTTCAGGTGGTTATCTCCAAGGAAGAGAATGTGGTAACTGGGATCATATTGGAAGGAAGATTTGCACTATATATCTATATCTATCTATCTATTGATATCTGTATCGATACATCTAGATAGATATAGACAGATAGATATAGGTACATAAAGATATACCTCTTTTACACCTTAAAATTTTTTTAACCATGAGAATATTACCAATTTCTAAAATACATTGATATCAGGTAAATTTCCATTGCCTTCCTGCCCATACCTTCTTTTCATAATCCCTTGATCAGTGACTTTGGTATCCTAGCTGAAGTCCCACTCTTGTAGCTAATTTCACCTTTCCCTTTGGGGCTCAGGGTCAGCCAGCATGGTCACCTTTCCAGAGAACAGTCTGTTTCCAGCTACACCCTATCTGAAGATGGTCAACCTTCCATGCTCTGAGACTCAGCATCATGCTTAGATGCTGAATACCTCATAGACCATTATTGCTCCATGTCTGTGTTCTGAGCAGGTCTGTCAAAAGTAGTAACTATGGGACCCTCACTGTGTCTCCCCAATACTCAGTCACTCATTAAATCATTCCCAAGCTTTAAGGATGATCCTTTAATAGGGGAGACTGACCTATAAAGTACTGCCTATCGACTGTACTGGAATATACTTTTTCTATCCATCTAAAAATAAACAATAATGGTTCAATGTGCACACTTCTATATGACAAAAGTAATCATTAAATAAACAAGCAAAAAATACATAGAAGCAGCAGAAAGATTTAACATTTAACACTTAGTTTGAAAGAGAACCAACTTACCAGCTTTGGACAAAATACCAAGAAGGTATATATCATACTAACAAGAAAAAAGTCTATGTAAGTTTGCAAAAACACCCAAGCCTGGAGTTTTTTGCAAAAAGGATGAAATCAAGCTTCATAGTTTAGCACTCCATTATTGGTTTAAAAGGTACATTTAAAATGTAATAAAACTTGAACCAATGAAGATTCTTATTAAATACGCAAACTTAATGAACAAGGACATACTTAGCAAAAAATAGTTTATTTCTTCTACCCAAAATATGTTACTCAACTTAACCTAGTTATTACAGATAGATAAAAAGTTTCAAACTGCTTACTGTCTAGCTTGGTCCTTACTGGAATAGGTTACATTTACCACTGCAGTTTCCGAGTCAGTGTTCACTAGAAAAAGAAAAAAACGAACAGAAAAAGATAATTAGTAACAGAAAAAGATAATTAGTTTACTTTCTACTTTCTTCCTTTTACAAATTTAAAAGCAATTGAGAAGACATGTACCTTGCTCACAGCTTTCCACCACGCCATACTGTACTAGTAAACTATCCAGCACCTATCAGGAAGGAGAGACAAAATTAACAAATTTTGAGTTCCCTAAGTTATTAGCAAGGGCAGGACTATATTTTAAAATCACCAAGCAACCGTGATGGAAAGAGCCAAAAAAAAAAAAAAAAAAAGAAAAGGAACTGGGGTACTGGACTGCAGAAGAGGGAGAGAGGCACCAAAGAAATCATACACAGTGGGATTCTCTCCTGGCCTCTCCCATAATCTCTGACTCTAAGCTCACTTTCTCTGGCTAACCAAGAAGTAGAGAGACCCAGCAAAGTGCTCAAAGCCACAGCCACCTGGTTCCTGAGGTTGGGGAAAAAGCTGCATGTTTGTCACATACACACCATCACCTTGTCATGTTTCCTCCTTGTGCAAAATCTGAAGGATTTGCAATCTTGAAAATGTTTTCTGGTCCCCAGGACACAATGAACCATTAAGAACACACCAAATAAATTTTGATGGTAATTTCATATTAAACTTGAAGCAATTTCTTAGAGAAAAGAATATTAAGTGGCATCTTTTAAGATTTTACTTTGCCTACTTATTTCAGTTTGAAATTTATAGCAAGGTTTGTCTGGCAATGAGCTTTTTTCCTCTCATTTTAAATAAGGTTAACACCTAGTTGTGAATGAAAGTTATGGTTTTTGATAGTGAAATTTTGACATGAATTCCCTTTGAATAGGGCCTACCAGTAAAAGCATGTTTAATTACAGCTACTATTGTAACAACAAAGCCTAATTTTTAATATTTAGATCAGAACACTTAATTGACTACATAAAATTTCACTGGTCTCTCTTAGCCACTAGATTTTATACTTCATGTGAATATTTTTTAGCTTATTGGAATTTTGGGGTTCATTGTACTATTCCCCACAGCAGGTACAAAAAAAAATTCAAGTATTCCTTAAGTGAACTGAATACTTCTCAAGAAGAAATTCTAATGTAGTTTATTAGCAATGGTTATTATAATAGTGCTCACCTATTTTAGAGGTGAACTTGCTATGCATGTAATATTGATCAGAGACTGATAAAGGCCAAACCAAAAAAAAGAAAACCTCTCACAATGCCACCCAAAGATATAATAGGCAACATATAGTTCCTTAAAATTAAAAAAAAAAAGCCCGCTTATATTCTTGAAACAAAAAAACCTTAATACCAAAAAACATTTTACATGTAAATTAACAGAATTCCAACAAGGTATTTTAATTCACTCTATTCTAAATAATTATAGCAACAGAAAAGGTATATCCACCATTTAAAATTTGACTTTTAAATTAAAGTCACTAATTAGAGCTTTGGGACAACCTGGATATCTGCAGGGGGTGGAAATGATGTGTGGGGGAGGGGTGCCAGGAGCAGGGTGATAACTGCCAATTGGATGTTATTTTAAATAAACACTCTTAACTCTCCCTAGAAGTAATTTGTCAGTAATTAAATGGGTTAGTCTCCACTTACACCACCTTAACTTTTGCTACTCTAGAGAAGATACTACAAAATTTAAATATCTATGATTTATAAACAATGTTGGTTAGAGCTAAAATTCTCTTAGGGACAAGTTTTAGGGATAATCACAACTGAGGAATGGGGGAGTACTGTCAATATTGCAATCAAGTTTCCAAATCCCTAAAGGGTTTCCAAGCACCAAATGACTGAGCAGTGTTACAGGAATCCATTTTCCTTCAATCTATTGGGCAGGAGTGTGTGAAGTATGTCAAGAAGAGTCACCAAATTGGGGCCTCCCTGGTGGTGCAAGGGGTTGAGACGCAACCTATGAAGCTATCCATAGCACAAGTTCGATCCCTGGCCAGGGAGCTACCCATACAGCGCAGCAGATCCGTTCTGACTCACCAGCTGCTCCTCTCAGCAATGTGTTTCAGTCAATCTGCCTGTTCTGTTCCCCACTCTGTCTCTGGTGAATCCCCTCCCACTCCCCCACACCTCTGGCCTGTACCCCAGTTATTGTATACATAAATAAATCTTTAAAAAAAAAAAAGAAGGAGTCACCAAATTATATCATGCCACTCCAACCACTGAACTCCCAAAGAGTAAATACAAGTCATTCTTGCTAAGTTCTGATATTTTGACACATCTGGATTATCTAGGAAGATAAGACAAAAGTTCCTTTTATCAGTCATATAATCATCTACCCAAGTTCTTGTCTCCTCTCAGTTCCTAGAACATCTTGTATTTTCTACCTCTCCCATCAACCTCAGCCACAAATGTTTCTTTAAAATAGCCGTGTTTAAAAAGGTAAAAACAAAAAAGATTTCACTGTACATTTCCAACATTTTCACAAATCTCTAACAAGCCAAAATTCTCATACCAAAATGAATTTATTTTACTCAAGCCAGAAAGGAAACATTTCTTTATGTTTAGATAGGTTTAAATTCCACTAGAAGGGGAAAAGGGTATCAAAACAAAGCCTCAGCGGAAATGTCTCAGTGGAATTCCCCTTTTCTTTTTTTTTTTAGATTTATTTTTATTTATACAAGAGCTGGGGTACAGGCCAGAGTCGTGGGAGGGTGAGAGGATTCACCAGAGACAGAGTGAGCAGCAGAACAGGCAGACGGACCGAAAGCACTGCTGAGGAGAGCAGCGGGCGAGACAGGAGAGGTCTGCTGCGCCATGTGGGATTCTCCCTGGCCAGCCGGGAATCGAACTGGTGCTGTGGAGGCTTCGGACAGCTTCACAGCGCTGCGCTCAACCCGCTGCACCACCAGGGAGGCCCTGGAATTCCCCTTTTTATAAGTTTAGACTTTAAAAAAGGGCAATTGTTCACCACTTTTAAAAATTATCATTTGAGGGCCTCCCCGGTGGCACAAGGGGGTAAGACGCAACCTATGAAGCTATCTGCAGCCACTGAAGTATGAGTTAGATCCCCGGCCAGGGAGCAACCCACATGGCACAGCAGACCTCTCCTGACTCGCCCACTGCTCCCCTCAGCAATGGATTTCAGTTGGATCTGCCTGTTCTGTTCCCTGCTCTGTCTCCATTCCTATAAAATGTCCAGAACAGAGAACTCTACAGAGGAGATTAAGTTGTTACACAGGGCAAGGTAGAGTGGGAGGGTGGAGAGCAATTGCTAAGTTTCTCCGTGAGGTGACAAAAATGTTCTAAAATTGACTGTGTGATGGTTGCGCATATCCATTAACATCCTAGAAATCATTAAATTGCACATTTTATTTAATTTTTTAATGTCTATTTATTTATTTATTTATTTGGTTTTTTTTGGTTTGTTTGTTTTGTTTATACAAGCACTGGGTACAGTCAGAAGCGCAGGAAGGTGAGAGAATTCACCAGAGCCAGAGTCGGGAGCAGAGCAGGCAGAAGGACCGAAGTACACTGCTGAGGGGAGCAGCGGGCGGCAGGAGAGGTCTGCGCGCCATGTGGGACCCTCCTCCGGTGGCCGGGGAGCAGCCGGGGATCGAACCGGCGCCGCAGAGGCCGCGGGCAGCTTCGCAACCCAGCACTCAACCGCTGCGCCACCGGGGAGGCCCAAATTGCACATTTTAAATGGGAAAGTTCTATGGCATGTGGATTAATCTCAATAAAGCTATTAAAATAGCTAAGATCTATATTACTAGAAAAAGGTCTAGAAATATTTAACTTTGAAGTATTATTAAAGTTCAATCTAGTACACAATTTGATCAGGTTTGATATTATGTGTATACCATAAGTCCATTACCAAAATCAAGATAATATGGTTTCTTCAAACCCTTCTTCATATCTAGCAGCCTTGCTCATTACTTCATAGAACCCTAAAGTCAAGACAGATGAAAAATTATCACAGATGTTAGATGAATAACTATTTCCTCTACATCACCAGTCCCAACTCCACCCTAGCTGTATTTTAGCTGATCCTATGGGCATGGAGTATAATTCATGCTTTGCAGATAACCCTTCTGTTGATGACTTATTCTGTATCTAGTCACTAATCAGGTTTATCACCTCTGAACTTTGTGAATCAAGGAACTCATTGGTATCCCTACCTCCAGCACACCACACCATAACTATCCCCCTGCTGCAACTTACTATACTTCAGTGTCCTCAGAATGCTGATAAAAATTGTCCAAACTTCAGCAGGAATAGGACATCATCAATGATATGGTACCACCAACCCCTCCCATCATCTTCAATATATTCCCCAAACCTAAGCTCCAAGTCATACCCTCAATTCTGACTAAAGCACCGCTCCCTTCTGTTTCCATAGCACCTGAGTTGATCTAACCCCAGAAATGAAAGCAATGCCATTTTAAAATCTCTTCACTGATCTTTAGTCTCCCGTTAGACTGGTGATTATTATCCTCAGTAATGTGATTATTTGTCAGGTATGTCCCAAGCAATCTATTCCTAATAGTTACATTGGTTTCCTTGCTTTATTGTTATCACACATAAGATCACAAATTCAAGTCTTCCACATTTGCCTTATATGTTTCAGATGATGAAGGAACACTGGGCATTACAGTCTGTGTACCCCTCTAGCTACACTCTGCAAGTGCCTATGGAAATGAATCCCCACTTCCATGTAGACTCTCTGAACAGTTGCACTAGTCTCGAAACTTCCTAAGGGAAGGAACCATATCTTAGTTACTTGTGAACCAAATGCTTAGTTCAGTGAAGAACCAAAAAGTTAAAGGGTTAAAAAGAAGTAACAAGGGACTCCCTGGTGGCGTAAGGGGTTAAGCACCACACTATGAAGCAATCCACAGCCACTGCAGCAGGAGTTTGATCCCCAGCCAGGGAGAAACCCACATGGAGAAACCCACAGACCTCTCCTGTCTCACCCGCTGCTCCCCTCAGCAGTGTATTTTAGTCAGTCTGCCTGTTCTGTTTCCCACTCTGTATCTGGTGAATCCTCTCATCCACCGTATCTCTGGCCTGTACCCCAGCTCTTGTATGCATAAATAAATAAATCTTTTTTTTAAAAAAAAAGAAGTAACAAGATAGTTTTTGATGTAAGAGCAAAGGAAGCCAACTTTAGTTTCATTTAAAAGACTAAAAACAA